CAGCCTCCCTCCCTCCCTTCCACTCTCTCTGAAAAGCAATGGAAAAAATATCCTCGGGTGAAGATTTAGAAAAAAAAATCATAGTTTTTATTCTAAAGTACACATACACACACATATACATATAGCTTGGAAGATGTACCCCACTGTATTACTGTGGTCATTTTCAGTAAGTCATATATTATGAGAGAGAAAAAGATATTTCCATTAGGTGAAATTGGTTTTAAAAAGAGTGCCATCAAATTCTTGTCTCACTATGAAGCTAAACATTTATAGTAAGGCATGAAAGATGTTAACTCTCTTACTCTTCATCTCTCTGTTTTTTCCTCATTTTAATAGAGGAGCTTTCAAGTGAGTTGAATTAATGTATTTATTTCTTCAATGTACATAACATTTGAGAAGTGATTTTCCTATTGGACTTGAGGAAAACTAAAAGTTGCAGAAGGTAGAGTTCTGGCTCTCTAGGAAGTTGTGGTCATTTACAGTGTGGGAAGGACTGAGGACTGGGGAAAGAAATCCTTCTGTAGCTCTTAGCCTTTTTGCCTAAGGGAGTAAAGAGCTGGTCATTTTCTGTTCTCTGCTCAGCTTGGCTTCCCTCTGGCCTATGTATCCAGGGGTGTTCAGGAATGCCTCAGAATAGGTAACTCTGCTCAGCTGTTCTGTCTTTCCTCTGTCTGGACGTAGAAAATTGTCTGCCAGTCCTACTTATTGCACTTTTTCTACTTCCTCCTCCAACCCCTTCTTTCTGTGTTCACAGTTGGGGGGCTGCTGGTGGTGGAGTGTTATTTTATCTGTGTTTTTCCTATTGAAGTGTTTACCAAGAATCTGTGCAGTCAGATGTCAGCAGTCAGCGGGCCTCTCCTACAGTGGTTGGAGGACAGACTGGAGCAAAACCAACAGCATTTGCAGGAGTTGCAACAAGAAAAGGAAGAGCTTATGCAAGAACTTTCTTCTCTAGAATAAAGTGGGAGATAAAAGGAGGTAACAAACTTTTTTTTCCCAATGGTCTGAAAATTCACACACCTCATATATAGGCAGACAATGGAGCAGCTCCTTGTATATCCACAATGGATGAGTTTTATGCATGGAATAAACACAAGACATCTTCCTAAAAATTTCATTGGGGCTTAAAGAACCCTCTACCTGTGACTGGCCTGCAAAGAGCATTGCAAAATGATTTAAGGAGAATATGAAAGGTTTTTTTTTTAAGGCTATGGAAGGTGCATTGGCAAGGACAACCTGTAATAAAATGTCTGGGTAATATATTTTAAATGTTTATTTTCCCCTTGTTTAACTTGGAAATATTTATTTTCATTTTCAGATACACTCCCTAGAATAAGCTGAAGGAAAAGGAGTATTTAATGTTTTAGTTTTATAGTTATGATGTTTATGTTGGACAAGTAAATAAGTACACAAGGTTTATGTCTTCCTTCTTGATCTCTGAAATGTGTATTCTGAGATACCTATCAAAGTTGAATCTATGTGGGTTCCTTTCTAACCAAATAGATTAGTTCTAGCATATCTGACTCTGAAGTAAAATTTTATCAACCAAATCCTATTTACCTAGGAACTCCCATTATAAATGTGTTTTTCCAGAAATATTTAGCATTTAGGATATAACAAAAATCATACTTTAACATGTTCTGTTGCATTATTCTTACCTTGTGTAACCACAGATGTTAAATGTGTCTTCAGAAAAGAGTCAAGCCTATTGCATACTGGAAATTAAAGTGGGAACTGGAGGAAGTAGAAAGAAAGTAAACAAAAAGAGCCCCAATCTCAACAAAGCATTGGTTTTTGTTTCTTACTTATCCTTAGATTATTGTTTTTCATGTTTTAAAGTATAGTCTAGAACCACCTGTACCAGAATCACTTGGAGGTCAAACTTCATCTCTGGGGGTGGAACCCAGAAATTTTTATGAACTCCCCAGCTGATTCTAAGGCATGCTAAAGTTTGAAAACCACTACCCTAGGGCATATGCAGTATAAATGCTATATTTTCCCTAATTCCTCACAGCCACAGTTCTTCTCTATTTTTTCTTTCCCTATAGGAAAAATGAAAATATCCAAGTGAAAAATTAAATAAGCTAAATCAATTTTGAAGAAAAAGTTGGAAGACTCACATTACCTGATTCAAGACTTATTATAAGACAGGAGTAATCAAATAGTATGGTCTATGCCCAACTGATTTTGACAAAGGTGCAAAAGCAATGCAATGAAGGAAGGATAGTCTTTTCAACAAATGATGCTGGAGTAATTGGACACCCAAAGGCAAAAAATGAACTTTGACATAAAATGCAAACCTTATACAAAAATTAACACAAAACGTATCATGGATTTATATGTAAGATGTAAAACTACAAAAATTTTAGAAATAAAATCATAGAAAAATCTTCAGGATCTTGGGCTAGGCAACAAGTTCTCAGCCTTTACCCCAAAAGCACAATCCTAAAAGGAAAAGCCGATATATAGGACTTCATCAAAATGAAAAACTTTTGCTTTGCAAAACCTTTAAAAGGAGGAAATTATTGAGAGAATTATTTGCAAACCATATATCTGATCAATTTAGAATATATAACAGTAAAAATAGTCCAATTAGAAAATGAGCAAAAGGCATGAATAGACATTTCACTAAAGAAGCTATATGAATGGCAAGTAAGCACATGAAAAGATGTTGCACTTCATTAGTTATCAGGGAATGCTGATTTATTACTACACAATTATCAGAACACCTAAAGAAAAAATATTGAAAATACCAGATGCTGTTGAGCATACAAACTGGATCTCTCCTACATAGCTGATAAGAATGTAAAATGAAATTTTAATAAAGTTAAACATATATGCATCATGTGACCCAGCAGTTGAACTCTTGGACATTTATCACAGAGAAATGAAAACCTATGTTGGCAAGAAAACTTGTACACAAATGTTTTTAGCGTCTTTATTTGTAATAGCCCCAAACTGGAAGCAACCCAGATGTCCTGCAATTGAGTGGTTAAACCAACCATCCATACTATGGAATACTACTCTTCAATTGAAAGGAATAGACTATTGATACACACAACTTGGATGGACCTCAAGGGTATCATGATGAATGGAAAAAAAAAAAAAAACAGTCTCAAAAGGTCACATACTGTATGATTGATTTATGTAACGTTCTTGAAATGACAGAATTACAGAAATGAAAAAAGGATTAATGGTAGTCAGGCATAGGGTCTGGAGGTGTATGGGGTAAATGTGACTATTAAGAGTTCCTTTGTGCTGATGGAACAGTTCTGTATCTTGATTGTGGCATTGATTAAATGAATTTATATCTGTGCTAAAACTACATACACCTACAAATGAATGCATTAAAATCTGAGTAAGTTCTGCAGTCTGGTAAGGAGTATTGTACCATTGTATCATGTGAAACTGGATAAGGTCTGCAGTCTAGTAAAGAATATTGTACCATTTTCAATATGTGGGTTTTAAAGTAGTACTATACTTATGTAAGATCTTATTACTGGGGAAAACTGAGGGAAGGGTACATGGGACTCATTGTACTATTTGCAACTTCTTGTAGGTCCATAATTATTGCAAAATAAAAAATCATAAGTACTAAATAAGGTACTAGGATTTATGGTACTTATTTTATGAAATAAGGTAAAAGTAATAAAAAGAAAGTCTAAGGGCAATAAAATGATTTGAGTTTTTTACAGGCCAACCTCGAGCACACATCCCTTTCCCTTTCTGGGCTTCATTTTATATTTTTATAAGGTTAGAGTAGATGGCCACCAAGGTTCCTTTTAGCTAAGTGTTCAGTCTTTAAGTGTTAAGCATCACAAGGAACAGTGATGTGAACAAGATGTGTCATTACTTCCCACTTGCACCAATCTGGTTTATACAATATACTGCATTCGGCTCACGACTGTGTATTCCCTTCTGGTCAGCAGATTCTATTTTCAATCACAGCCAAGATTCTGATGGAAACAGATACACACGTGTTTTCTTTCTTTGTTTTCTCATCTGTTCATTCAACTCATTGCATTCTGACCTATGCCCACATCACTCCATTCAAACCACTCCTGCCAAAGTCACCAATGACCTCCACATAATGAAGGTCAATAGATGTCTTTCCTGTCCTTAATGAATCTTTCAGTCCTGACACAATTGGCCACTGTTCTTTGAAATATCTCTTTTGGCTTCTGCTATTCTACTCTTTTCTGATTTTTCTCTTCTCTGGCTGTTTCTTCTCAAATTCATTCATAGGCTTCTTCACATTTGCTTACTTATATGCAGTTGACAGACAAATCTGTGTCTCCATCTAGACTAGAGGGGGGAACGTCTGGCCTGCAGGCCATATATGCCAGCAAAATAATTTGATCTGGTTTTGTCAAGGTGACTGCAGGCGGACTCAAAATTCAACAAATCTAGGAGCTTTTTTCATAGCTAATTTTTAAGTTGATAATTTTGTATGGCCCACAAATGATGTTATAAATATCCAAATGGCCCTTGGCAGAAAAAAGGCTCCCTACCCCTGATATAGACCTTTGTGCGAACTCTAGACCTACAATTCTACCTGCCTACTATAGATTTCCACTCCGCTGTCTTAATGGCACATCATCCAGCAATCAGTTACACTAAACAAATATGTGAATTGATTAAGCAAATAAATATATTGAGGAAAGGGAGAACTAGGTTTTTCAGTGTCAGAGAAATGATTTACAAACATGAAAAGGGGGAAGGGTAAAATGAACCTCATGGTGTTGGACTGAAATTGGAAGTATTAATACAAACTTTTTTCCCAAAGGGAAAAAGTATGAACTTGATCCAAGATGGGGGCAGAGTAGGTAGAAGTTACACTCACCTCCTTCCAGGACCAAACTAGAATTTCAAAGAAAATATAGAACAATCAACTTGAATAACCAACTGACTAACTGAACAGAAGTCTTATAACCAAGGATTTATAGAAGAAGCCATATCAAGACTGCTAGGAAGGGTGGAGAAGCAAAAAGGGCTGGTCCTACACAAATATGCAGTGGCTGATAATCCAGAGGGATTCCCAACTACAGAGGTCCTCCCTGAGGAGCATAGGGTCTTAACTTCATGCCAGGCTTCCCAGTCTATAGCACCAGAGCCAGTAAAAGGAGCCCACATAACATCTGACTATGAAAATCAGCGTGGATTCTGTCCGCCAGGAAGAGATGGGAGTCTGTTAGAAATCCAGGCACCCTCTTGCACCCTCTTAAAGGGCCAGCACACAAAATCTCATTCACAGCCACTCACCCTAAGCTCCAGCAGAGAGATGGCGGCTGGGAGCAGAGTAGTCCTGTGAGGAGAAGGATTGTGTGGCTGTGGGGAGAGAGCTGAAGGATCAGTCGACAGGGTCCCTGTGCTGAGTCCTCCCACGGACTCCATCTTCCTTGGGTCAGGGACTCCCCTACTTATGGCATCAGCTTGGGGAATGCACTAACCCCACACTCCTGACTCCCTGCCCCTCCACCCTGTGGAGCTCACACCCCGCAGAGGAGTCAGCTGCCTGACCCCATGATGTAGAGGTCCACGTGGGCTCGGGGTGTCAGAGACCGAGTGGCGTGGCATTGGGACAGGGGCCATTCCCCCACCTTTCTGAAAGCCTGACATCTACTGACCCCCCAACAGGAGATCCACTAGCCCCACCCTCCCAACTCCCAGGCACCCTGCCCTATTGAGCTCAGACTCTCAGGGTGGTCTGGGCAGCATCCAAGAGAGATTGATTTGTGTGGTTCTAGGGCAGGGGCCATTCCCCCTTCATGCAAGCCTGACCCGCATCACCCTCCAATAGGAGATTCACTAGGCCCAACCTCCCAATTCCTGAGGCACCACTCTGCTGAGCTCAGGCTGTCAAGGAGGTCCAGGCAGAATCCAGGAGAAAAAGCTGTGTCACTCTAGGGTAGGGGCCATCTTTACCTCTCATGCCTGACTGAAACCACTGTGCCCCTGTAGAGCCCTCCCTTCACATGGCCAAATCTTGATCTGTTTGGGCCTGATGAACTTTGCTGGCCTCACCCTGATGACTCCCTTAGACCCTTCCCCACCAAAAAGGTCTATGTGCACCTGGTGGGTGGGAGCTGGCCTTAGTGTACCCTGGGACTTTTGCTGAGTGGCCTCAGACCCAGCACAGGCAGTGAATTTGAATCTGTATCAATTTGGTGACCACCACCTGCCCCTACCTGGTGACTGATGAGAACCTACCTCATGCAACTTGCATACCACCAGAGGCCTTTTCAGTGACTGAGCCTAGCAGGCAGCTGGCAGGCAGACGCAGGTGAAGGTGGATCTCAGGGTGCCTTGGGCCTTTTGCTGACCTGCCCCGGACAAAGTGCTGGTGGAAGTGAGGCTTGGTGCTCAGCTTGGCCCTTCCCACTCACACCCAGGCCCAGCAGAGGTAGCCACAAACTGGATAGCTTTGTAGCTCCAGACAGGTAGTCCAGGACCAGTCACAGAGAGTGCCTGACATTGACCTGCGCCAGACTCCCTCCCAAGAAGCCCTAGAATCAACACACCAAGTGGCAGACTTTAGAACACATCAGAGCAGGACTCAATTAGCTCCAAAAGCAGCACATCCAAAGGGAGATCTCAGTAGGCACCAGACTCTGCTGCAGCAAATTCTACTTCATGTGGTTAGCATCTGCACAGCCACTCAAACACTGTGGCCAGGGTCAATCCTCACAGTCAGCCAGCCTGAGGGTCAACCCTGAGCACAGCTTGTCCAACAGCAATCAAGACTTAAGTATGACAGGAAGGCTCACATAACCCACCCAAGGGACATCCCTGGAGCACCTTGCTTGGGTGATCAGGAAAACTGTGCTGTTGAGCCTCACGACACACCAATCACATAAGGCCTTCAAAACAAGATTGGGATGTATAGCATATCTAACTAATACACAGAAACAAATACAGACAAGCAGCCAAAAATGGGGAGACCAAGAAACATGCCTCAAGTGAGAGAACAGGAGAAATGCCCAGGGAAAGAACTAAATGAAATGTAGGAAAGCAATCTATCAGATATAGAGTTTAAAACAATAGTTATAAGAATGCTCAAGTAACTTAGGGGCAGAATGGATGAACTCATTAAGAACTTAAACAAAGAGATAGCATGAAAAAAACATAAAAACCATAAAAAAACCCCTACCAGTCAGAAATGAAAAATACACTAGAAGGAATCAATGGAAGGGTTGATGAAGCAGAGGCTCGAATTAGTGATTTGGAAGAGAACATAGCAGAAAACACCCAATCAGAGAAACAAAAAGAAAAAATAATTTTTAAAAATGAGGATAGTTTTAAGGGATACTTGGGACAACATGAAGTATCACAACATCAGCATCATAGAAGGAGAAGAACGAGAGCAAGGGATTGAAAACCTATTTGAAGAAATAATGACTTAAAACTTCCCTAACCTGGTAAAGGAAAAAGACACACAAGTCCAGGAAGCACAGAGAGTCCCAAACAAGATGAACCCAAAGAGGTCCACAGCTAACATCATATTCAATGGCAAAAACTAAAAGTGTTTCCTTGTAGATCATGAACAAGACAGGGATGTCCACTTTCACCACTCTTATTCAACATAATACTGAATGTCCTAACCACAGAATCAGAAAGAAGAAGAAATAAAAGGCATCCAAATTGGAAAGGAAGAAGTATAACTGTTGTTATTTGCAAATGACATGATACTGTATATAGTAAACCTTAAAGATTCCACCAAAAGACTACTAGAACTGATAAATAAATTCAGTAAAGTGGCAGGATACAAAATAAATATCCAGAAATCAGTTGCAGTTTTACACACCAATAATGAACTATCAGAAATGGAAACTAACTCTTGGTGCTGCCTATGGAGGTATCAGCCATCTCCTATTCAGCACCATGGCTGCCCTCAGACCCCTCATAAAACCCAAGGTTGTTGAAAAGAGGACCAAGAAGTTCACCCAGCACCAGTCAGACTGATATGTCAAAATTAAGTGGAACTAGTGGAAACTCAAAGGCATTGATAATAGGGTGTGCAGAAGATTCAAGGTCCAGATCCTGATGCCCAACATTGGTTATGGGAGCAACAAGAAAGCAAAGCACTGGGAAGTGGCTTGCAGAAGTTTCTGGTTTACAATGTCAAGGAGCTTGAAGTGCTGCCGATGTGCAACAAATCTTAGTGTGTTGAGATTGCTCAAAACTTCTCAAAGAACCATAAAGCCATTGTGGAAAGAACAGCCCAGCTGGCCATCAGAGTCACCAATCCCAATGCCAGGCTGTGCTGTGAAGAAAATGAATACACAGATTGTGTACACATTGTATTTGTGTTAAAACCATAAAATTCTGCCATCTGGAAAAAGAAAGAAAGGGAAACTAAGAAAACAATCCCATTCACAATTGCTTCAAAAAAATAAAATAGAATACCTAGGAATAAATTTAACCAAGGAGATAAGAGACTTATACTCAGAAAATTATAAAACCCTGAAGACAGAAATTGAAGAAGGTACAAATAAATGGAAGCATATACCATGCTTATGGATAGGAAGAATTAACAATGTCAAAATGTCCATACTACCCAAAGCAATGTATAAATTCAATGCAATTCCTGTCAAAATACCAATGACTTATTTCACAGAACTAGAACAAATAATCCAAAAATGTATATGGAACCACACACACACACACACACACACACACACACACACACACACATACACATAGACAAATAGCCACAGCAATCCAGAGAAAGAAGAACAAAGTTGGAAGAATCATGCTACCTGATATCAAGTTATACTACAAGACGATAGTAATCAAAACAGCACAGTACTGGCATATATATATGTTGACCAAGTATATAAAACTAGAATATTTTTAAGAAAATTTCACTCAGAACATTTACCTTGAGACAACATATTTTGTGCCATAAAATAACTCAACAAATTTTAATATATTGAAATAATAAGAAATATGTTCTTTGCAACAAAAGCAGTACTTAACTGTAAATGCCTATATTATTAAAAGACAAGCATCTTAAGGAAGGTAACCTACCTTAAGAAGCCTGAAAATAAAGAGAAAAAAAAAAAGAAAGTAAGTAGAAGGCAGGAAATAATAAAGAAGGGAAATCAATGGAATATTAAACAGATTATAGACAAAATCAGTGACACCTAAAGGTAGTTCTTTGAGAAGATCAATAAAGTTGATAACTTTCTAGCCAGACCTATCAAGATAAAAATGAGAGACGACTTATATATTATCAATATGAAGAACGACAGAAGTAACATCACTGCAGATTACACAGGCATTAAAAGGATAATAAAGGAATACTATTAAACGAACTGTATGAACTTCTGTATCTGATGCTGAATGAAGGGTAGGAGGACATTGTTTCAGGCAGGATACAAATCCCATGATGTGTGAATGAAGCCTCCCTAACAAAGGATTCCCAAAGTACCATCGTAGGACCACTTCCCAAGATCGGAAGATATTCAGACCTTTCATCAGGAGCCCCCAAAATGTCCCCCTTCTTCATACTATTCATTCAATGGTTGTTATTTGTTTTGAGTGTCTACTATTGAAAGGGTCTACCGTCGCTGCTCTGGAAATGCCCAGCCCTAAGGCTGGTTCTGTCTTCAAAACTCATTCTTGGACCTACGGCCATTTTGTCCGGCTTTCTTGCAGAACACTTTCCCGCGCCTCACAACTTAAAAATCCCACCTCATAATGTTGCAGGTCAGCCTCAGCCTCCGTGAAAAGTCATCTAGTGCAAACTATCTGCAGGGTCATGCCTTTCTTCGGTCACCTCAGGCGTCTCATCCGTCGCCAGGGGGTGTGGTCCGTTGCTCAGTCAGCTGCTCAGTCCACTCACTAGCCCGGAAGGGGAGGAGCTAGATCCAGCAGCCATCGCCCTCGTGGCTGGCAGTCTACGACGCACACATGGGGTCATCTGTGTCCAAGGCTGCCCTTGAAGCAACCACGGATGAGCTTATGGAACCAGACCTGAAACACCTGGCAGGTGAGTAGGAAGTCTAGTGTGGGCGACTCACATGACTAAGTAGCAAATCTAGTGCTCTAAGCGCCTCTAACGG